CCGTCGTCCCACCGCTACTTTGGCAACGTGGACTAAACCGACGGGGGGGGAAGGTCCCCCATGAGGAGGCCGGTGCGGCTGTTTGGAAATAATAGGCGCGCATCCACTATTCGAACAATGCGATACTAAAGCTAATAAAAGGATAATTAAAAAATAGAGAATATCTAAATCTTGGCTTTGCTATTTACGTCCGTCTTTAAAAAATAAAACACACAATATTTATCGTTTACGGTCACAATTAAGAGATAGGCTAAAAAAAACTACTTTCCTTGTTTTGTCCAATGTTGAATGAAGCAGTCTCCAACGATACAATATATATATATATATGTGTGTGTGTGTATATAAGTATACGTTTAAGTAAAAATGTACTACAGCTTCACGGTAGGCGGTTTTCACTCCGTTCGTTTTCTAAAATCAGAACCCTTAAGAAGTGTGCCGTGTTTCCCCCCGTATATGTTGGTGAACTACAATAGAAGAAATAGAAACACCTTAGATTGAAATATAAGAAAATAAATTATTTTTAAGAAACGCATAAATGATAAATATTTATGGCTATAAGAATATTAATTTAGTAAAAAAAAATACAAAACAACTCCTAACATAGATGAAAGAACCTTGACTTTCACTATAGATTTTAGTTCTTTTTTGAAAGTTCGATAAAGAATACTCCAAATCAAGAGGCTTACAAAAATAATTAAATTAACTTAATAAGTTCTATGCCATAAATTACGAAAATACACGAGCAGGCTTCCCATTGAAAACCACATAATTCTCTACCAAACCAACTACTTCATAATCAGTGAACATTTCTTCATTCTCGCCGGCTACATCGACTTCTCTTTCTTTCTTTTCATACTCTGAAAGACTTTCATCGCTTAATTCATCCATATCAACAGATCGTCCTCCTTTTACTATTTCATCTGATGGACTATCTAGTGAAACCTCACTACGAAATTTTACAGCTGTTGAAGAAAAATCTGGGTTGTTATTTAATACCATCGTATCGCTATCATTTTGGTTAGATCGATCTCTAGCATTGCCATGACACAGATTCCCTTGACCTCCACCAAAAAAAAGGTAATCCAGCGAGAGATACTCAGGATGGGCATCAATCCAATCGGAAAAGAGCACAGTATCCCCTACGTCATTAGAATCTCTGAAATCCACCTCATGCGCCTCTTCTCGCTTTTGTTTTTGATCCCCTTTGTGTGATTTCTTGGCTTCTCGTTGCAAACGTCGACGGATTTGCGCAGAAATCGTCTTCTTTCGCGCAGGATCGCATCGTTTAAGGACTAAAATCGGCAGTTTGAGGGCCTCCCGCGAGCCGTCCACGCATAGCGTACCCATTCTCAGCGTGCACCCGTCCGCGCGCAGGCGATCCGGCCGAACCTCCCCGAGGAAAACTTCCTTTTGGTTAAACTTATCTTTTGGATTAAAATCACTAGCCTCGGACTCGGGCTGAATGTGGATCTTCCCCTGAAGCTCCACAATATCCATTAGAGGCAGTTCCCCACAGGTGAACATGCGAATCATTTTCTTACACCAGAGAAAGCTTTTAGTGGAAAGGAAAGGGAAGAGCTATTTCTTAGACTTTCTGCTATTAGTATAGCCATTCGCATAGCCACACACACAAAAAAGGAGGAAATGTAGTGACAAAAGTAACGGATACGTGCTCATTCTGCAAATGTCGAAGTTTTATTATAGGAAAATACTTTTTTTTGAAATCGTCACTACTACAACACAATATTAGAACCAATATGCATACGTATTATTTAAATAAATTCGAATAAAAATTTAAAGTGCAATAATTCTGGATATAATTAATCCAATAAAGTGGATGCACAAAATGGTATCTTCGATTTTTATAATAATTGATTCAAAAGAACAACAAAATGAGGACAGCAATGAGAGGATGGAGTAAAATATAAAAAAAGGATTAATAAGTAAAGAGGAAAAATTTCAATAAATGACTTTTTATATAATAAGAATATTTCGATGGAAGGAAATTCGGAAAATCTACACTACCCACGAGTATATAGGTAAAAGATAAAAAATTAATTAGATGATAGAGACAAAACTATTACAGTATTTTTTGTGCTTTTAGATTATGAACTTGATAAAAAGCGCGCATAGTTTTAGCAAATAACAATTCAAAATAATGTTAAGGAAATAAGGAAATACCATGGGTATTATCAGCTCCTTCCCCCTTAACTGTGATAGCTCCAAAATAGACCGACGAACGCGTGTTAAAGCATCACCTGACGTTCAGTATATCCTGCTTAAAATTCGCCTCCCCTTTCGCAGTTCGTAAACTTTAAACCCTGCTTAGTTCTTTTTTTTTTGTGTGTGTGTAGGAAGGGGGGAGGTGATCATGAAAAACATACAATTGAAAGAGTGCTTAGTTTATAACTAAGTGCAACTCTATACATTGAAAATGCTTACACAAACACAATTAAGCCTTTTAAGGAATGAAAGGGTATCATTCCGTAAATTTTGGAGCCCAAAATGTAATATACAATAGTGTTGAACATAATTAATTATTTTTAATGATTTGCAATAAAAAATAATAATGGGTATCACTGTATTTTCAGGTCGATCATTGGACTAAACTAATGAAAAGATAATTTTTAAATATCAACAGCTATGAAATTTGTGTTAAACAAAAAAGGTGAAAAACGCAAGATACAACGATTAATTTTATACAAGAAAGTCACCTATTTGTTTTAGCCCAATCCTTTTTGACGGAGCTGTAATGGAAGGAGAATTAAAGTAAAATTACCAGTTAAGCCCTGTGGCTTTACGAAAAAAAAGAGTAAATCAGGGGAGATAACTCAGTCACACTTATGATCAAGATTATTGTTTTTTCTATTTTCCTATCAATAACATCAGCAACAAATGGTGAAACTGCTCCTCCACTTTCTGATTTAATACGTTTCTTGTATGCCCCCCCCCCCCTCCCTCAAGATGACGGAGACAAAATTGTATCTACTAAACTAACAGAAATGCCATTGTTTAGGGTGTCATTTCTTCGATCCAACCTCTCCTCGGAAGAGGCAAAAAGGGAAATAACAACCTCAGAGAACAACTGACGCGTCTTAAGATCGAAATCACCAATAGGACCATGGTCCCTTGTAGAGGAGGAGGGCACCTGTCGCGTCGTCACACCCCTTTCCGGCACCAATGGCTCGTGTCACGGCCCCTCCCCCCCGTCCCGATGGATGGCAGGGTCCTGCCGGAGGAGGCCGCCGCGGGCTGCGTCAGCGCGCAGGACCCCCCTTTCCGAACCTCGCACCGTCGCAGGGCTGAGAGAGGGGGAGGGGTGCGCGGCAGGGGCTTGAGCGAAATGAAGGAACGAAAGGACAGCGAGGGCTGTGCCAGCAGCACAGAAGGGGCTGCGGACAGGGTCGACCGGAGGACCCCCACGACGGCTTTGCCGCCCTCACGCCGAGGAAGGCCCTGATAGCGGACGACAGCCCCAGACGGCGGCTCACGGGCCAACGGTGAGATCTCCGAAATGCAGGAACGAAAGGACGGCGAGGGCTGTGTCAGCGGCGTCTGTCCCGCCAAAGCCGACGTCGCCGTACTCCGGCAGCTGAAAAAGGCGCGATCTCTCTGTTCGTACGGCTCCGAGCACGCACTCGTGAGGGAGTTGATCCGTCTGAAGGTGTGCGGAGTTTCAGGGGTGTGGAGTCCGTAGGATCGATTGCTCCGCACGTCCACTACGGTGAGTTTAGACTTACAACCCGACTTCTCCGGTGGATGCGGCAGCGGCGGCTTTGAGCGCTCCGGCAACGTGTGGCCTATGCTCTGCGATGGATCGTGATTATTATTGTAGTATGTGTATCCGAACGGGCGATTCGCACTGCAGATATCGGAAACATCGCTGGAGAAATCTTCAATGGGAGTTCGAAAAGCGGAGGAATCTCGCTCCGTGTTCAGAAGGCTCGCCGCCCTCTCCACGGGAAAGGAATCACGAGAAAGGGAGGGCAGAACAGAAAAACGGAAATCCTTAGTAGAGCCCCTAGCGTTCACCCTGGACAGATTCTGGTCTTGGTTTTCAAAAGAAATGCTACTCATATTCGTATCACATTTATTCTCTCCGACGTTTACAGAATGCAAACTAGCTAGATTTTCCATGGTGCTTGAGCATAAATCGGTACTAGAGCTTTCGTCCAAGATCAATTCCATCTCAATCTTGGAGGCGTCATCAGACAAAGCTGCGTTGTCTATATTGTAAGGGAATGGAAAATCCTCATTGGGGTTGACGTAAATATCCGTAATGTTCCGATGGTATGGATGTTTAGAATTTCCTAAGTTGTGGTGGTGCATATTGTTTGATTTGCTTCTCTTGGTGCCGAAGCTATTACTAAGATCGCTGTTTTGATTATTTCGACTCCCTTCCCTATTGGGAGAGAGATAGTAAGGAGAATTAGAGGGGGCATCATTCAAACTGGTCTCTGTGGGAACGTGAACCTGTGTGTGGGAGATGTTCAATTTATTGTTCTCGGTTGGGAGATAAATCTCGCCATAGTCACCCTTATTCTTCCCGTAAGGGCTCTTCTTCCGCAGCTGTGAAAGACTTTTGCAGGAGCAGCCACCCATTCTCAGGAAACTCGCAGCTGAATGTCAAAATGGTATACTCACTATTTCTATAAGAATTATAATAAACACAAATTGGTGTTTATGGTCAGCCGTGTGTTTATTGATCAGACTCAGTCGTTTTTGTTTTTACTTTATTTCTTCAAGTTATAACCCAGGAGTGTTGTTTTAAAGCATAAGTATACCCCCCTCCCCCTTCCTAAGGACAATCACGCCTAAGAGCTCAAAATAGGAAACCGTCCTATAAGGTGGGAAGTAGCGTTAACTATAACTTTCCTTTTATGTCTACGCACGTCTGTCTATTGAATTGTATGTTCCCCCTGTACCCCTTTTTTTTCCTTTTTACTTGATTGTAACACGTATTGGGGCGGTTAAAAATATGTAGGTGTAAAAAGGCTAATTGAATTGCACACGTCCGTCCAAAAATTCTACAAAATACGTATAGTAAAAATAGAGTGGAATAAAAGTGCCTTTGCCGAGTGCAATGTCCAATGGAAGGAAAGGTGCCTCTTTAATGAAATGTAAAGAAAAGTAAAGAGTATATAGATATACACTTATATTTGTATTTATTCCTATAATTATATATAAGGAAGAGACTGGCCTTTGAAGGGGTGTAAAGTTGAGATATGTTATTCTACAGCCAAAAGTAAACAGCATTACACACTCAAGTGATGGTCGACTCAGAGATAACTTGCAAATGAATCTATATGTATTTATTATTTACACACAGTAGTGTATCTCATAATGAATATCGCAATATGTCAGATATAAGAATCCAATCTTTAAGAAAAAACATAAGGATTAAACAAAAGTATAAAATTATCAACATCACAACATTGATTTGGATTATTAACTAGTCTAAGGCGATACCGTTCGGGAATGATCGTTTCATACTACTTTTCTCTTTCGTCAACAAATATATACATACTTATTAACTTTAGCATATTCACTGCACTAAGTTACCTGGTAAATAAATACATACACAGATAAACATATATAGATATAGATATACGTATTAATGCAGGAGGTCGATGCTCATCGAACTAAAACTATCAGCACTTCACTTAACTTACTAAGTTTAACGGTACCATAGGCAGTTGTAACAGAAAGGAACATAATATAAGTAGCGAGTGCATATTAATCACAGAAATATATTTTTAAATGTTCGAAGCTTTTTGAATGAGCATATATATGGCTTTATGTATGCTTTTATAGGAATAATCGAAAATATGTAAATGCGGAGGAGCCTCATTTCGGTTGTTCGCTGTTAACTCAGAGAGAACTTCAAAAGGATCCTGGTTGTTTTAAAAAAATGGCATTATTTACTACTACAGTAGTACGAACAACAGTCTCGACTATTGCTTCATTATATATCACAAACTTTATTTTCTATTTTCCCCTCGAAGCCAAGATTCCAATAAGAGGTGATTACTTAAAATAATTTTATAAAAAGATAAAACTACCGTACCAAAGAATATATTATAAGATGAAAGCATTTTGGATACATCTGATGTTACTAGGTAATGTGTTAAACTACTTTAACCAATATACTATTCCTTGAAATCAAATAAGTTGATAAATAGATACACAAGCAAGCAAACAACCTCTGCTGAGTTGAACAAATACACCGTAGGAATCACATAATATATGTGAATGATATAGTGTCTTGTTGACATTGGAATAAAAAAGAATGGGTTATTATTTAAGCGTTTCTTGCTACATGTCTTAGTCAGGCAACCTTCGCCATTGACTCTGAAACTGGATGAACTTCTATACGGATTATATCATGCAATATGCTGAAATACCACCTTGCACCCTGGATAAACCGCCACCGATGCTTTATTGGTGAGAAATTAGACACGACAAAGAACTTTGGCTGCTCAACGCCCCCCTCCAGTGCTTGAATCTCTCCTTCCATGGAATTGTCCGCATTCACCACTCCAGCTCGGTTGCGATCGTCCCCGGTGCAGTCTGGGTCACCTTCCATGAGAGGATACAACTTTTGCGTGCACATTGTCAGTGAAAAAGTGCTATTCCCGTAGTTCGGAATGGACACAGAGTTATCTACCATTTCGGCCTTTTCAACGCGCGTTTCCTCAGCTGCAAATGTACCCTCGTCGTGGGCATTCAAACCCCACCTCTCGAGAGGAATGCTGAGGCCAGCAGGTCTCTCCTCCACATCCTCGCCGCCGCTGTCCACCTCACCGCTGATTTCACCGTCTTTCCGGTTTGGCGACTGTTTAAGCTCATAAAGTGAGGCTTTCCGCTGCCACAATTGTTTGCCTAAACACTGGAGTGGGTCTCGTTTGGAAATGGTCCCTGCGGTGCCAGGTTTCATTTTGTATCTTTCCTCCCTTTTACCATCGCAGATCCCACATTGAGCGGCCGTCGACCGGCGATTGGTCGTTCTCAGAGAGGATTCCCTTACGTTGTCCCCGCCCCAGGGTTGTCCCGAGGCCCGCTGGGAAAAAAACAGACGACGGTAGACGCTCCCCCGCAGCTTTTCAGATTCCTTCGCTTTCTTTTTTTCCTTCTCCTCGTTCTCCTTTCGCGGCGAGGACGAGGCGAGTGGGCTGGGGAGCAGCTTGAACGAGGTAGATAAATCCGCCCCGTGAGGCCCCTCCCCCTCTCCTTCCTCCCCCTCGCTTTCCCGTTCCTGCGGAGGGGGGAAATGGTCCCGTGAGGCCTCGCGGGCGTCCTCTTCGGGCGAAAAGCCCTGCCGGATGAGACGCAAAACGTGTTGAAGGGGGATCGAAAGGAGAGAGGCTCCCTCGGCGAGGACCTCGTTCGCGTAGGCAGTACTCGTGAAAGACTGGGAGAGCTCCGCCTCCCCCGCCGCTCTCTCCTCCGAATCGCTTGCCGGCATCAAGGGTATATAGAAGGGCGAGTCGTCCTTCTCCGTCGGGAGAGGCGGGGGGGGTGGACGTGCTTTTAGGTGGGAAATGTACCTAAAGTGGCGCGGGGTGAGAAACTCTGGGGATTGATAGGTGTGAGCGAAGGACCCCGGCCTGGAGGTAATCCTCTCCCGTTGCCTCAAATCAGAAGAGGAAAGGGAGGCTTCCATGGGGACCGTATCGTTCGAGGTGGACAAGTGTGCTTGGCCGGATTTGATCTTTGGGGATTCAACATGGTGGTGAAACGGGTGCGTCCACGCTAGTGATGTCCCTCTAGGGGAACTCAGGTACGGAAGGCTAGGGGCCCTTGGAATAGTTCGCTTCCTGTAACTGGACCTTTGCGGGCGCTTGAAGGTATAGGTGGCACTCAGCCCAGGCTCCTTGTAAATAGCTGGCTTTTGAATCCCGTCGGTGTAGGTTTCAGAGAAGCTACTTTCATTTGTATTGGTCATTTGCCACTTGTCGGACCTTTGCATTTTATTGACTCCTATGGCGTGTTCGTTTCCTCCTCTCTGTATATGTCGTATTTCCGAAAGTTAAAGATAATACGCGGAGAAGATACCTTTCCCTAAGTATTAATATCTATGTCTAAATAATAACCAGTGTGTAGTGGTCCTACACGAATCGACAAAATTTAGAAGAAAGTTCAGAATTTTGATATATAAATCGGGATTTGGATAAAATTATATCTGTAAACATTTAAGAAGTAAGAAGGGGTGATGAAAGATAAAGCCTATGTTCGTTATGTTAACTACATAAAAGTGATGCCCTTGGTGGGCCATTATAGTTAAGCATCTGATAAATATATTGAATTCGTTTCATAAAGAGATAAACTCAAGAAAAAAAATCTGAAAAATAGTTTAGTACAATTTGATTTTGGTTTCAAAAGTCACACTGATGAATAGAGATGGACCTATAAAATCCCTGAAAGTAACATTTTTGAGGAGAAAAGATGTTAACTTGCGATTCCACTACAAGAAAGAATTAAAACAATATTAAATTATAATTGCTAACAGGATAGAAAAGAGACCTCGTTGGCTTTAGCACTGGTGTATCATTGCACGATTTTCACAGTATTATAGAAACTTTTTGATTGTGAGAGTTGGCCCTAATCCACACACCCATTTTTTACCCCACCAGGGACTCACCACTCCGTTATGTTTTACATTTCTTCCTTAAGCTTATTACAACGCACAACATCATGTGTTGCTTATAACCAGACGGTTACAACTATAAGGATGCTTTTCGCATTCCAGCAGTACCCTGCATAAGGATTTACAACCACTGAAGGAAAATGTAATCCAATAGTTGTGTCTAAGGTAAAAAAATAACCTGAGAATCTTTACTGTCTCTCCTTTGGGATCTCGTATTTTTAATTTACCCAGTTCTTTTTGAAGCTGCGATGAAATTATTCGTATAGCAAAGAAAATAAAAATGAACGGGTTTTGCATCATCATTGCTAATGGTATAGTCAATATACATATGTGCAGATACAAAAATGTAACAGGGGGGCGCAAGCCCATTTCCGAAACTCCGTAATAGTGAACCTCCTTTATAAAAAACGTTGTTTAAAAGGAAACCATAGTGAAAAATATGGAAGCTAAGTTACTCTTCTTCGACAAAGAAAAAGAGACGAATTAAACGATTGCACGGATTTAGACCTAGAAATACAAAACTAAGCGCACTAAAATGTGTCTCCATTACCCTTCACTTTTAATAATGAGGGTTTATTCCTTTTCCTGCTACTATCTATTATTCAGTTGGGGCGCTTTTAAAAGTCCTTTTCCAAGTGTTGTACATCCCTAGAGCCCAAACCGTCATAGAGTTCTTGTATCCGGGATAGTGAATAGGGTTATTGCCATTGAACATGCCATTGATCCGTTCCTGGTTCCAATCACCGCTATCCAGCTGCCTTGACATAATGAGCTGAATACCTCGGTCCACCGCAGATATGATCCGCTGCCGCCGTGCAGAATTAGTGTGGTAAGGCTCCCCCGATACGTTCATGATTGCCATAACCGCCCACGCAGTATTCACTACCTGGCTGCCATCTGAACTGTCAACCCATTCCTGCCGTACACACGAGTTCATATCCTCACCCCAGCCACCGTCATTATTCTGATGACGCATCAGAAAGTCGGCGAGCTTCCTACAGTGTGGGTGATTGGCGATATTTGGGAATTCTTTGGAAACCCGGAGCGCACTCGATACGAGCCAAGCAGCAGAAGTGTAGCAAATGGCCCAACTTCCGTAAAAACTCCCATCCGGATTCTGAGTTGAAAAAACGTAGGCGATGCCCTCACTGATGGCGGTGTTGACGCTACTACGACGGTAATATGGAAACTGCTCTCGAAATAGCGAAAGGGTGTGAATGCAGCTACTACTGCACTCAGCGTAGGAGCACTCGACCATGATGTCCTTGAACATCTCCGAGCAGTTTAGCAGCTCGCAATAACGCGGAGCACGTTTGGGCTCGTACGACGCCCACCCACCATCCCCACCTGCATTGCGAAGCGAAAGAATCTCATCAACAGCGTCAAAAATACGAGGGGTCGGAAACGGTATGTGCCTCAATAGTAATATAGCCCGAAGCCCCTCCGAAGTGCAGTCAGACACCTGCCAGAACTGTTTCCTCGTTGAAAAGGTCCACGCCCCTTTCGTGCGGTGGCGGTAAAAGTAATCCTTTTCAATGGGATCATCTCGGATCTGTGAAATATCGACATAGTGGTGTGCCAAAGTCATTTCATTCGGAAAGAGCATCTCGCTCTTACACGCACATGTCGCCTGCACAACGAAGCTCGTATCCCAGAGCTGTGAACCGTTGTATCCGCTCATATACATGCCATATGGTGACATAAAAAGGTAGTCATTGATGTGCTGCAGGTGAAGCTGATACCGCGCGCTATTTTCCCCCTCCCGAATCCACGTCACAAGCATGTTTAGGCACTTGTTAACGGGCCCAAGGCAAATAAAATGCGTGCTCTCGTCATCGTAGGCGATATGCTGCCAATATTTCTCCAACGCATACCGCCGCAGGAAGGAGATCGGGCGTCGTTCGTACAGATCAAGCACTCTAGATGCTACTTTTAAAATACTCGACACGGGCGTGTAGAGGTCCTTGGGGCACACCTCGTACCGATAGCGCCGCCAACAAATACTAGCGAATGGTTGAACGAAAAGCTCCATTTTCAGGGCGTCTAGCAGCGGATGCGGTGACGCACTCCAACGTAAGCCGAACAAATACAAAAAGGGTAATGTAATAATTCGGCTATGGCACCACATGCGCTGTATTGAGAAAGGGATCCAGCGCGGGAGAAGGATTAGCTCAGGCAACAAGGGGCTCACGCCGTCATAGCTGAACAAACCGAGAATACAGAGCCACATCTTTCCCCAGAGCGGGGTGTAGACCGCCCCGCCCTCGGCGTGGATCCAGCGCCGCGCAGAGGCCGCCGACGGATCCTCGGCAGGCACCCCCATCATGCGCAGCGATATATAGTTAAGAACCGTACCAAGCATTGTGCTGTGTCCCTCAATGTGTTGTCCCCAGCCGCCATCGTCGTTTTGGTAGTTGCGGAGATACCGAATGAATTCTAGACGCTTGGCCTCCTCACAATAACACGGCGCTTCATCCCTCGTGCGCCCATCCGTGCCGCAAGATAGGATGTCTTCGCCCATGAGCGGCCCCTCTGCCTGGCCCCCTAATACCCCCTGTACATCCCCCTGGTTGCCTTCTCCACACGGCACATGACTGTGGTCTTTGACCGGCGGAAACATCCTGCCGAGGTCCCCGTTTGCGACGATAAACTTGGTGAAAATGAAACCTGGGGTCAAAAACATGCACCCACCATACCCATTAGGCCAATGCCCAGAAAAGGGATCCTGAAGCCGCATGAGAAACGCCAGCCCGTCCTGCATTGCCTTCTCGGACGACTCCCGTGGTCGGCGAACGGACGGTTTGTTGAGCCCAAGTTGATACCTCTCGAACTCGCGTCGTTGCTGTATCTTTGCGCTTAAAAGCTCCGGATCCGGCTTTGGATTTTGACCAAGGGCGCCCTGCTCACTCAGGCGGGCGTGGTAAGACTCGAGGTCTACGAAGCCGCAGGCCTGTGCACGCCCCAATTCGTTCCCCTCCTCCGCCTTCCGGAGGGCTGACCCGTAGTACCACCTCTGACGACCATCTTCGCAGCGCAGATGCCAGTTCTCAAGTGGAAAGGAAGAATCCGAGGTGTACTTGACAGGACGCACCAGTGATTGACTACGGTGCGGCCAACTGCGGCGGTAGTTTCGCCACACACGGCGTTGTCGGCTGTCCAGCACGACTAAGACAATGTGCACAACAACCCACACGGGACTCAAAGCTACGAGAATTAGGATGTAAAATACCTTAGCAAGGTAGTAGCTCAAGGACGCTGCAAGATAATCATGAAACGTGTGAGGAGGCTCCGGCACGACGGTGTTAAAGGGTAAACTGCGCTGATACTTCAGATAGGCATCGTGTGCCCTCTTGTAGGGTTTAAACATTGAAAGCAAACCACAAGAACCAGTAACCGAGGAGACATCCTTGTTCTGCTTGGCATCCTCCTTGGCAAAGCTGGGAAGCACACAGGGGCCTCGAGTTTGTTGAGAAACAGAGGAGTAGTGCTGGTGGGCCTTCCTCACGCCTCCACAGGGGGCATGAAAATTACAACGCGCGTGTTGCGATATACCGTCGCCGTTATGGAGAAATTTATCCTCATTGAGGGAGGCACAATAATGAACCACTTCGGAAGGCATCGCTGTTGAATCCACTTTGGCAAATAAATCTGCCTGCAAGGATTGGTGTTTCTGTGGGTCAAACATGCCCGCTTCAGCCCCTTCCAATTTCATTTGATATCCTCCAAAATCTGTACCAAAGGTGTTGAATGAGTTTGTGAATGGCTCACAGGCACTTTGAGGTGTCTCGAGACAGGGAAAACAACCGTTCCTTATCAAAGTGGCTTAAGGTGCCCTTATGAAACTAGAATTGAACGAAATGTCAAAAAGTCACAGATTATGCCTCGTCTATAGCTTAGAATATATGTATTGATTGTTGTTTGGTGCTTATCTAAGATTTTAAAATATTATTACCATGTTCAGGAAAAATCAACAAGTAGTAATTTTAGACTTCCCTGAAAATTAAGGGATGATACGCGTTAAATCAAGAGGATAAATATTTAGTCACGCAAATGGGAAAAAATACATTAATGGTAATAGTAACTATAGCAATAGAATACAAAGCCTCCCCGCTACGGGGAACATGACGCTTATTGGTGTTTCAAATGCATACAAATGAGTAAAAAGGCAATAGACAACAGCAAGTCACTTGGCCGACATTCCATATGCTAATCCAGAAGAAAATGGTCAAAAGCCATAAATGTAACATACACACACACTAAAACTGGACGTATGTGCCACAGACCCCGCCCATTCTCCGCCGTCGTTGCCCCCTCTTCATGTGCTCCCACGACGAATATATGGTGGTGTTGAGTAGGGGAATGAACGGACGGCTAGGCGAACTAGCGCGATCATTACGACGACCTCCGCTAGTTAGCTAGGGGTTCCCCCGTGGCGGACTGCTAGAGGAGCCTTTCCGCATCGCCTCGGCCTGAAACCGCTGCTCAGAGGCCACCACCATCTGCAGGAGCTCCACGCAGGTGGGACGCTTCGCAGGGTTGATCTGTAGGCATTGCTGGGACAGTTTGACCAGGTCGGGACACTCCGCACAGTCCGGAATCTCCGGCGGCTCCTGCGCGTAGGTCAGAAGGTTCACAATCTGCTCTTTGCTCTCGAACTCGTACTCAAACCACGGCGCCTCGCCAGACATCATTTCAACCATCGCGCAGCCGACGGACCAGATATCGCTCGCCTTGGTCGGGCCCGCGCTGGGGGCGGCGGAGTCGACGCGGAAGAGGTCGGGGTCCATCCAGCGCAGCGTCCCCGCGATGTGTAGGGTGATGCTACCCCCCCCATTGTCACTGTCATTGCCATTGCCGCCTTCTGGGGCACGCGGAGGGAGGAGACTGGCGTTATGATGCGTTGACTCCCCTCTTCGGGGCGCAAAATTCGAGGCATCGGTGGCGAAGGTGGTGCGTGGACGGTTGAGCAGCTTCGCTGTGCCAAAGTCCGCCAACTTAACCCTTCCCTTCTCAGTGATGAGAATGTTGGCCGTTTTGATGTCGCTATGAACGATGTTTAGCTGATGGAGGTACACCAACCCCTGAAGCACCTGTCGAAGGTAGCTAAGAATAACACCCGGGCTGAGCGCACCGAAATTGTCCAGGAGACCCCTTAATGAGCCGCCGGGAACAAACTCCAATAATATATTAAAGTACGTAGAGTTTTGTGAAGAACCATAGTACCGCACGATATTCGGGTGAACCGCCTTGGACAGCACTGCAATCTCCTCTTTGAGAGAACGATACTGCTGAAGAATGGCCTTCGCCTCTGAGTTGTCGCGATCCTCTAGGGTATCCGGCAGCTGCACACGCTTCACCGCGATAAGCTGCCCATTTGTAAGGTTGATCCCCAAATAAACCTCCGCATTTCCACCTTTTCCAAGCATCTCTTCCCCAATCTTCCATTCAATTGTCTCCCGACGGGTGATTTTTTCCCTAACCGTGAGGCTTCGCCGCCGCGAGGGATTGCGGTGGCGTCGATCGGATAGTGTCGAATCGTGGAGACGTTCAGGTATGTGGGTGGTACTGCTCAAACTTGAGCTATCAGGTGTTGAAAAACGCCTTGAGGAAGCAGGACGATTGCTGCTCAGGGCATCAACTGACAAAGCTTGGACATCCCCAGCAACGTTTTTACAAGAAGCAGATGCAAAACTCGAGGAGGGTGTGAGAGGTTCTTTGACATGCCTCCACATGGAAACCCAGGTGCTCAGCCCGGTGCCATTCAGCTGGTGGTCCGGGTTTAGATGACGGCCCCGTAGCGGGAAACCCTGAGCGTCAACTAATACGAACATAAATCCCATAAAAAACTGAGAGGTATTCACCTTAAAAGTGATAAGAGCATTGTCATGGAGGACACAACGCCCACCTTTCCCAATCTTCTTGACATTAACATAGGTCCCATTCGCACTGCAATCATAAAGCATTACAACATATTTTCCAGAGCTTGGGTTGCTGAGAGTATCAGCCTTTCGACCACCCGCGCGGTTCGCATGTCGCTGACGCCGATGTTGACCCATAGTGCGTTCTGAGATCACCATGCGTTTAATCTTAAATTGCAAACTGCTCACAAAAGTATCCGAAACGACCACATGGCAGGTGCTACTGCGTCCAAAACAGAATTCTTCGCCGAGAGGAACGTGGATATGACAAGTCGGAATGGTAGCCTCGTCGCGCGAGAGAAGCATCGCCCAAGCTGCAGGCTGCGCATCGCCCTTGCCCGACTGTGCAGTGACGCTCGAAGGGTTGGAATTGCGCGAAAGAGCCTTGTCTACGTCCTCCGCCATAGATCCAAAGAAACCCTCTTTGGGTTCATCCATGCCTCTCGACTGTCTATAAAAACAGAAAGAGGGGCCCTTACCCGTGGCAATGGTGCCACAATCAGCCCCACTTCCTGCGGGCATTGCCCCTTCAAACTGATCTGTTTCATGGGATGGATTTGGGAGCTCCATGAACGCGTGGCCGTCGTGCGAAAGATTGCTACAACTCTCTCGAAAACGTGACTGCAGCAAGGCCCCCTCATCATCCGTTTCCCGAGCTTTCTTGATATCATGTAAGCCCTTGTAGTGCTTATCGAATCCAGTAAGACTAGACAAAGGCTCGTATTTTGTGTTCCAAACTTCAGAGGCGTTGCTCGTGTTACCGACAGATGAAATGAAAGGATGGGATTCTAATGCTGTGGGGAGCCTGTTGTCAGAAATGAGTCTGCACACGTTGAATGGGGGCCTTGGTGGAGTTCCTCTCGCAATAGCTAGTTCTGTGATACGATGCCTTGACCTCAGTGCAGCTGCCTGTGCAGCATCTCTGCTATGTCGTTGCTCCCCTTTGTCGAATGAATTAGACTGTTGAAGTGGTACATCGATATAGTCTCCCTCCTCAGATGACGATCGATGCATCCCACCAACCTGGAAAGAGCTAGTCACGGGACTAGCTACACCATATGCTTTCTTGGTGGGAGATTTTCCACACGGGCTCCGCCGAAATGACGTAGAATACATCCTGCCAGAGGTAGGTGGTGATATCACACAGCGCTGATACCCCCGATGACCGTAATACGGATGTTTCAGGAATGAATTTGACGACACATGCGCTCTCGAAACCGTGGTAATTTCACTGTTGTACTGATCCGCAATCCGTAATATTTGATCTACAAACTCCTTCAGGCAGCGAGTCATGCGAAAGATATCAGACGATTTTGCGCCATCGTGCGCAGAATCGGTCTTTATTGAATCTTGCTTCTCAAATCCAACATCATTGCAACTGGATGGAACTCCAGGTGTAGTTTTTGTGAGATGGCTAAGCAATGATGTAGACACCCCCTCCTGTAAAAAACTACCCCAATCTGAATATTCCAGCATATTTTCCTTCAGGCTCTGTTTGAAGAGCTTTATTGAGTCTCTCACGTCATTTGAAAACTGGAGAGGTAAGTTGCTCTCCGCTAAAGCAGCGTAGGACTTTGGGCGGTCGTCAACGTGACCAGACGTTCCCAATTTGTCTGGGATACTGCACTCCTCCGAGACTTGGTTCGAATACACACTAAAGGCGCCAGACTGCTCGCACTGAAGGGAACAGGGTGAAACAGGTTTCTCAAGAACCAACATCAGTGGTGCAGGCTCTTGCATGAGACTCCGCAGCGTCTGCAGAAACGTGAAAAAGAGAGAATCGTAGGCACTCGTAGTGCCGGAGAGGTTACCATAGCCATTATTGGATGTCTGTTGTCTCAAAGACGATGACTTAGATTCACCATTTACCGTATTTAATCCTACCGTGGAACCATCAGAAAACTTACAATTAATACCATTCTTAGTATTAATATTGGTGGGAAAGGAAGTAAGTTTACTGGAAGTTGCATCTCGTGCAAGTAACTCGGCGGCACTTGGCAGTGGTTGACGCGGACAAACGCGGGAATTTGCATTCCTTCGGGTATTGTCGATTTTACCTTTCCTACAGAGCTGCGATCGGCTGCAGGACGCAACATCTGTGTCCTCACGGCGCCCATGATGCTCAGTCACACTGATGGCTGTGCACCTGCTGCTACTAATCCAATAGAATTCATCCTCTTCTCCTCTTAGAGGTTGTTTGGTTAGCTTAGGTTTAATACTTCCGTCGAATTGTGTATATGAGAAATCAGGCACAGGGTCCGTCAGAGCGCCGGCTTCCTCTTCACGGAAGACTCCGCACAACGGTCGCAGGCAACATTGAAACCACATTTCACCCTTCGCGTTGCTTTCATGAGCCTCATTTCCTTCTGGTCGCGATAGCAGCTGAATAAATACGTCATTTGAAGGGTCATAAGCTTCAATTTGGTTGCTTGAACCTACTTCTTTTTCACGCAAGATAGTAGATGAGCCATTCCTCGATCCTGTTGCTGCGTTTTCTACGGCAAATGGAGTTGGAATCCGTAACAGACCTCGTAGGTCCAAGTGTGGGAATCCAAAATCTTCACTCACAGCCTTTGTGCTATCAAGTGGCTGCCCCGCCGCACCATTTTCGCGGTCAGTAACACCTGAGCCATTATATATATAATTGTCTGGAGCACGAATTCCACCGCTGCTACTGCTTGTGGGTGGAAAATAAACGCCTTCGGAGATGTCATTTCGCTTGTTTCGAGAATTGTTGGTATGATGAAAAATGGGGTGAAAATGAGAGAACAATGGCCATCCGAGGATATCATAGCCCCTAGTTTCCGTCACCCGCTCCGCGTATCGATTCCAGAACAGAATCTCACCAGAACGGGGGTCCAAGAGTGCGAGCGGAATCTGTAGTTGATCAAAAACTGCATGAAGTAGCGGACGACGTAGCACTAGGAGTGCCGTTCCGACAACATTTTCCTTGGCTTCATCGCACGGCTGTGCACCAAGCGAATAAATCTCAAGCCACGCATCCAAGCTCACAGCAAAGGTGTTTAGGTCCTCCGATGATGCTTTAGACTTGGTAGCATCGCAGCCTAGAGGCTTGCTCAGCTCATCCTGGGTTCCCCCGTGCTTCGTACTTAAATCATTTTTGTCGGACCCCTTACGGAATGGGAAGTGGCCTCGCAACGTGATGCGACTAACAGCTAAATACGTTGCCGGATGCTCCTTCGTCGGATCGCATCGCACCCTCGTGGGCACTGCTTCCGCAAACCCGTGGGAAGAACCGGCACCATCATCTTTGGCTTTGCATCCACTGGAATTGTGCAAACCTTGCGAACAGTTGGATGTGCCACCGGGATCAGAACACGACCGTGTGTAAGAAGATGAAATTGACTTCAAAATGAGCTCCCTTAACGTGAGGAGAATGCTGGTCGCACGATCCACCTCCAGCCACGCCAATACGTCCGAAAGGCGGCGAAGGCGAAGAAACTCTGGTGACGTCCCGAGCATGGTAGCCATTCCCATGCTAACCTCAACAATAACAAGCCCAAGGTCGAGAACCATAAAAGGGTTGCAATCATCACCGAAAGGCACAAGACTGGACAGAAAAGAAATGCTTTCCGGTCTATTGTGCATGTCAGAAGGCTCCTGCAACTCCGCATCGTTATGAAAAGAGAGAGAGGCTGCCGGGTTAGAACAAGTTTCACCCTGTCGATTCACCTTTGTGGCTGTTTTCCCAATACGTTCCACACTCTTTTTAGGTACTGTCGGCAAACAACAGCGGTTGGATCCAATTGCTTTTAGGAGCGCAGAAGAATTTAAGGCGGATCGCTTGGGGTAAAAGAATGAAGAATCGGAAACAAAGACCCTTGGACGGCGTCGCGGATTTACGGCATAGAGCACCGCGCTATCAAATAAAACGGAGTTAATCTGCGTAAAGGAAAGATCCCTTGTGGGATCCTCAGGTCCCATTACAGCACCCGTCCCACAAGGAAAATAACATTGCTCTGTAACCTCCGTTTTGCAAGCATGTGATTGTTGCCCAGAGAGTGCGGCAATGTCACGATCGAAGACTCTGGCATCAAGCTCGCACCCGCTGAATCCATCCTCGCGGTGATTCACGCGAGGGGATTTTGCAAAGCAAAGCAATCCACAGGCTTCCTTTCGGGTCTTCTCGCGACTGGCTACGGAAATTGGCGCGGGAGTTGGGTTCTGCAATTTCCGGCTTGCCTTGTTCGGGGTCAGCGTCGTGGTTGTGCGTGTCGATGGATAGCCGTCGGTTACCCGGGTCGCAGAGGCATTGCTGAATGCTGAACTAATGTCTCGAGTCATAGGTGGTAGGCCACTCTCACTAACAGAACCTTCAAATACAACTTTACGTGGCGATAGCGTCTGCTCGCGGTGGAGTGTGTTGGTAGTCATTGAGAAAGGGCACTCCTCTAGGGAAAGTGGACCATAATTCTCCACGGTGCTGTAAGAACACAACACATCTTCGTCTGAAATTTCATTGTCCTCTTTTTTGAAAAGGTTATTGGCAGACGAGGAGGCATCGTTCATGGCAACAACTTCTTTTACTTGATGAAAGGGATGTTGCTCAACCATGTTCCGGATGTTGTCCCCATATCCTCTTGTATTACAAAGATGGAAGAGGGTGGGCCTATTGCCCATGCATTGATATGGTACCATGTTTGACATTGCTGAATTATTGTTTGTTCGACTCCCCTCAAGCTGGCTTTGGTGTCTGAAACACACCAGCAGCATGCACAGTATTGGAATTGATAGCCACAGAACGGGCACAAACATGTGGTACATGGAAATAGATGGATAATACGAAAAAAATGTGGCCAGATGAATAAGCCCGATAATTAACTCGACGAGAAAAGAAATGTCAAACATAAAGAAAACCCAAGCATGTAGCAGGCACACTTCAAACAATAGCTCAGAAGAAGTGTGTGCGGACTCCAAACGGCTGCTTTGAGTCGCCATTACCACTAGCGAATCCATTAATGCCTCGGTTCCGATAGGAAGTTTGTGTATTTTAAGTGTCACGTCTTTGTTTGGGTGTATTTTGTTAGAAATGTTTGGGCTCACCCGAATCTTAGCTGCAGAGGCTAATCTCCATTTAGGTGAGCTCTGAACACATTCCTGTGCAATAATACGACGGCACAACCTTGCTGTACTCACCGATTGCATCATCGCAGAGTATTCACGGGACAAGTTTCCCAATGGCGTTGCAGACACTAAGGAATACTGAAAAACTAATTCAGTAATAGAAGGGTTTGATTTGAAATAACTTCTTGAAACTCCACCAACATCTCGCAATGAGACTCCCTCACGCGGTGAATTGTGAGAAAATAATGATAAAGGCGTGAGCTCACCGATGAATCGTGGGGACACTAGTAACAACACTCCTAACAACAACAATTCAACAGCGGGGACTGCCTGGCGATAGTGCGATTTTCGGATCCAGTAGTTCCAGAGGCACATATGTCGAGACGTTATGGACATTGAATTCCCTGTATTACGGTCAAGACAAGTACACCTATGGCTGATCACAGGCTTTTCTGCAGCGATATTGTCCTTGGAGATGAGTTGTGAATAGGTGGGTAAGATTACAACGGACGTGGTAGCTAATTCTTCACTGAGACACCCCTTTCCTTTGTGCCCGCTACCGTCGTCGCAGCACCCGTCAGTAGAGTGAACTAAATTCGACATCTCAATTTCTTGTGTCCTTTTACACCGAGCACTGAGATCTTCCTTATGACGAAGTGCGCCGTTACTGTCTGAATGCAGCTGAAACTGAAGCGGCAGCACTGGTGGTGGCGGAGGAATGTAGCTTCCATTAGCCTTAGCCAACCCCTTTTCATTTGTTGCCTCCAAACTCCCACTTGGTAAACAATAATGGGGCATTGTGTGATAATTCACTGACCATATTTCAGTCCCCGAAAGAACCCTAAAAGATGGATAGATGTACAACCCATTGTGATATTGACACACTTCATGAGCCTGTCGGAATTCCTCCCTCTCCATCGAACGAGCTTCGGCGTTTGAAGAGACAAAGTACACTACACCGCACGCTATTCCAATCACTGCATTGAGAACAATAAAAAAAATACGCATCCGATTAGTAGACCATGGTAAGCAAAAAAACACGGCACTGAGAACCCCAATCATCCCGAGAGTAAACCAATGTGGAACGGCTCTCGAGGTACTATGCAAGCTGTTGATAATCGAACCTCGACATGGCCAAAATCTTTTTTCACCACCATAACAACAGCCACCACGGTTATTGTCACTAATTTTGTTACTAGAGAATGTAGAATGATGCCGAAAACCATCACCCAATCTACTAGAGGTCAACTTGTCATTTTTATCGCGATCGGTAATGTATCTACCCTCATTTAGTTGAGGATCCATTTTATGTATTTCCGTGGAGGAACCAACCAAGTGCGGTTGCGGCTGTGAAGTCTCTAGAATCTTCTTGTCATGGTATTGATTCTCCATTTTCCCTGATACAGGATAAGTCTCATCTTGACAGGGGCTCGCATTGTTTGGGCTTACCTTGATACCCCGCACCTCTGCATCACAACTCACTGAGTGTGGAGGAAAAGCAGAGGAACACGGTGACTTCCTTGGGGAGACCAACCGCTCGTTAAGCTCTTGAGAACTTGCACAACAGCATGAATCTATTGTCGGGCACTTGATGGGACCTTTGATCATACGATTAGATCCTAACAGTCGAGGCATTTTCATGTCCTTTATCGGCCTATTGGTCTCATCGATCCGCGCCTTCCTCGGACTAAGGACTCCTACGCTATTGGCAATGAATGGTTGGAGCGATGGACCTTTCATGCACTAAGAGGAATAGCCTCGTTTAATTGTTCGCCCTTTTGAACTTCAGGTGACTCAAAATGGAAGAAAAAAGTACTTGAGTGCCAAGAACAAAAAGAAGTTAGAATTCACGCTTAATGAGATAGCTCACAGCGAAGTTGTGATGCCAATATTAAGATTTTAAGTTGAAAGGTTCTATACATATAAATATAATCGTCGAATTGTTAAGATTGATATCGTTAATGTTTTTTTCTATGATGTTTTGGGACAAGAGCTATCAGAAGCGTTAATCCGGTAAAAGAACGTAAAGATTTAAAAAAAAGGTTAGGTTGTGGTTTTAAGGTAAAAATATGTAAATTTGCATTTTTTATATCAACTATACTCCAAATTGTGAGATAATTATACTGATAGAGAGCGGGTGTAGAGTGCTGATGCCTTATATATACTAATCCACCATCACATAAACTCTAGTCCTTCTAGATATTAGTAAGCTCGTGTTCGATGAGTTACTTAAACCGCATTAAATTTTGCCACATAATATTGTATTATAATTCTCGTGAATGCGTAATGTAAAATCAATCTTTGAAACCTCAAATGAATGCACTGAATAGCGTTTTTTTATTAATTAAAATTATACTTTTCTTTTCAAGATGGTCGTGACAGGGAGTCTACTAATTAGCAAACAAAATTAAGCCCTCCGCACCCGTGAGAGACCAGGATCTCCCAATAGAATTGCTGCCCTCGGACGCTTCCCCGCCACGATGGGTGCCATATTTCCTGTCCAAGTCCTCCTTAACGCACTCGGTGACGCCAATACATCCTTCGCTTTTGATCGTTCGGATGCAGCAGAGCGGCACCACGTGTGTTGGCCAGTAGGCGGCGATGACGTCCTGGAAGCTGGGGGCCACCGCTGGGGTGTCCTGGACAACCTCCTCCACAGCGGCCCCCGAAGCCGGCCTCATGTGAAGGCCTGGGCCTGAGTCAGACCCTACGGCTGAGCAACGGTCCCCTACAGACGCCAAATCCAAGGAAGTCATAAAATCATCTCGGCACCAGTGCCGATCACCCACAACACGGCGGTAGTTGAGGTCGCCCTTAAATATCACCAGTGAGGTCCGTGCGGCAAAGTGCGCTTTGTTCATACGGAAAATCTCACTGGCAGGGATGAGGGGCGTCCCGACCTCTGGGTTAGGCGACCCAGGGGCTGTCGACGTCGTTTTTGCCACACGTTGAGTGAAAAAGTAACGGTTGATTAAACGAGGTGGAAGGTCGCGGTATTCACACGGTTGGGTCCACGCGGTATCAGCATCAATACGAAAGTGCCCCTCTGTAAAAGCAGCACGCACGCGTGTTACAAAGGGTTCCAGTGCGTTTTGAAAAAAGCCCCTTTCTTCCTCAGAAAAGATCGCGTCCTTCTCAGAGTTGTTGTAGAAGCCCTCAAGAAGCAAAAGCAGCCTATCAAAGTCGCAGGCTGTAACATCAGATACGTAGTACGGATGTGACTTCACATGATATACGACCGATCCTGCCGGTGACCCGCTAGCCGCTGTCTGCTGGATGAACCATAGGCCAAAGCACAGATCCGAAATACACTCCACGCCGACGTTGTCCATAACAATATCGATCGTGCACGGTAGTTCCTCAACAGCCGCAGTGGTCGCAACAGCAGTCTTTCCAGCATCGAGATTATCTACCGAGGAGGAAGACTTGGTCGACTCTCGGTCGTGATGACGACGAAGAACAGATTCGATATAGTGCACGAGACGCTCGAGGTCATTCCCCACAATATGGTCGTCTTTCTTTTTGGCAATGAGTGCTTCCGCATCACGCAGTTTCTCCACTTGCTCTTGAGTCTCAACATTCTCACCGGCGTTTGACCCATCAATGCGACCCTTGCCTCCTTTCATGTGTGACTCTCCCTGTGAATTCCTTAGCTCTTCCATTGAAAACATGGACAAATCAAGCCCATTACCCCAAAGCATCCATCTCAACAGCACACCAACGAAGTCAAACGGTGCTCCCCATGGCTCACAGATCAGAATCGGTGCGATTCGGGTTTTGACAAAGCTTTTGATAAGCTCCTCTTTCTCGTGTGAAAAGATATCGCGATACGGTTCAAACACACTGCCGGTCTCTCCAGATGCACAGCCAGCAGAGGTTGGCCATGGACCTTCGCGACAGAGGAGGGAATCACCTAGAGGATCCAATAAACATGTGTAAGATAGTTCGGCTCCCCAGCCTGCTTTCCTTATCGGTACTTTCTCCCGGGAAGACTCGATACGATCACGGCGGAACGCCTGTATAAAGATCCCGTCGTGCGTCTCCAGAGGTGAGCGTACCAGAAACTCAGTATTTAAGCTTTGGTAGGTGTTGACGCCCGGGCTAATCATACCTGAAGTTTGCACAATTTTGCACTCCTGTGAGAAAAGGGGGTTATGCATGGCGTACGGTGTGATAACATTTGCCACCACACTTTGTTCTTTCCCCTCATCTAGAGAAGTGTCACCATTCCCCGACGTTAGTAGTTTGGCACTCAAACCAGCAGGCTCCTCTTTGAGCATGACATACTGCCAAACCATGTGATAAAAGAGAATTTCACCAATAAGCCAAGGAATCTGACCCCAGCGCGGGGCCGGCAACACGCGTTCGCAATGACCACCAATGCTTAGTTCTTCCTTCAAGGTAACCCAATCAGAACGATCCTGCGGCTTTGCCGAGCAGTGATCATGCTCCGTGACGAAGGCATAGTTTCGCAGCCAAGCCGGCACCACACGTTGACCAGGAAGCCCAGGAACAATACTGTTAGATTGGATACTCTCAATCAACTCCTCCAGACGCTTAATGCCAGCGGCTGATAGATGTTCCTTACTGGTACTCATTAAGCGCTTCAGATGATGCCCCATGCGATTTTTGAGTGTTACCGCACGAAATTCAGAATCCCCCACATCGCGAAACCTCACCATGGTGGGCAAGCGGACAGTTGAGTGCTCCATCACAGTCTGAAACAGTCGACGCAGTTCCTTTGCGTTTTCCCAAAGTCCCACGTTACAGCACCCACCGAAGCTGTCACTTAGCACCTTATGCAATGGAAAGCCACGCCTCGCAAACACAAAATCGCGTGGCCTCAAAATACTCATCACGGGACAATTATCATTGAGACCGTCTCCCACATAGATAATAGTCGGATCAATAAGAGAAGTCGTGTTAAGGATGCGATGCATAGCCTTGGATTTACATATGGTCTGCACACTAATTTCAAGACAGCCCTTACAAATATTTCCCAGGGGTTCATACCAGGAAATCCGTGAGCGCCGAGTTTTTTGAGCATTGTAAACCAAATCTCGTTCCGCCTCGTCTTTTTGATTAATGCTGAAGGAAGGTATGCAGGTGGCATACCAAGGTTTGTCTTTGGTCCTCTCCATACCCGTAGAATCTATTTCATAGTACGGGTTGCTGTGAACTTGTCTGAGTAATGGGAACACCTCAGGAAGATGAGCCTGTAAAGAAGCCTCGATAAATAGATGATTAGAAGCACTGACAATATCAACCTCAATGGATTGGGGTATATACTCCTCTTTCAGTCCCTCTGCCTCACAAGTCTCATTCTTGGCATACAAGGGTGTGTTGTATCTTTCTTGCATCTCTTGCAGGTAGTTAAACACAGAAGGCATGTCAGGGTCGATGCAAACGTTGGCTTTAGCAGAATTCACAATCTCTTCCCTTGAAAAAGGTGCAATCAATGTGTCAATGAGTGTAGTCCACTGAATCTTTCCCTCGGCAATGAGGGCACGCTGAAGATCACCACGACCCAAACCAGCGGGAATCGCCTCATCAGTATTAGAGTCCACAATAGTGTGGTCGAAGTCGAACACAATAAGAAATGATTGACGCCCGATTTCTTTCATATGGTAAAGTAAATGTAAAAAATGGTTAGTGACTAAAAAGCTTAACAATCAATGGATTGAAAGAATGAAAGGTCAAAAAAAAATCCCTGTGTAACAAACTCTCATCATTAACACATCCGAGATGAGGATACATTGGGAGAGGAAAATATGAAAAAGGGAAACTAGGCAAAATTTAGTCCCCGAAGGCCTTTGAGTTGGAGGGATTATAGATTTATCTAAGAGAAAATTACGAAATAGAACATAAATGACTTATTATACGTAGATAATCAATTTTCGCGTGTGCTACACTACTGATCGATAAACACTTCACGGTAATTAATAAAATATAAAAAGAGCGATAAATCTTTGATAGGATGGGTTACATGTATGTTTATCTGTGTACGTAGTCCTTCGTCATAGTATGTTTATCTATAAATCAAAACAGTTTTCTGAATAAAACACTCATTTCAAACTCCCTGTAGGAGCACCTTGAAATCTATCACCATTGTGTGTGTTTTCAGTTATTATCATGGTTTTTGAGGCATTAAAAGGCGACATGTATGGCATAAGAAGTAACCCATAAAAAAGTCTCGTTGAAAAGGACCTACGCAGTGCTGATGAAATAGCGTAAGGCACTGCGCGCACTCCAAGACGCCATCCTCTTCTTTCAATGCCGGAATAGAAGGAATAAAATCAAGGAGTTCTAATATTCGCTGCTGTTGCTTTCTATAGTGCTCTGGTAATGGAGCCACGCCTTGACCATTTGTAACATCAGACTTTGGGTAAGAGCACAAAAAGGGAAACAACAGAGGTGCCGCCTGTTTAACAGAACACCCTCCTAGAACTACTTCCAGTACCAACTGACGCAGGCTGCATCCTTGCAAATAGTCTATTATTTCCTCATCATGAACATGGGAAAATGAAAAGGGCTTCATAACAGCATTGTCACTCGTTTTGCTTCGATCCTGTGAAGCATAAGCTTTATTGAGGGGTGCCGTCTTCGGCACGCTCTCTCGGTGTAGCCATCTGTATTTTTCCAACAAGGTAATCCACAAAGAGGCTTTAGTCTTGGCGCCAAAGCAGCTGCTCTTAAGGCCAGACAATTGAAGACAGCTCACATTCCCGTCGATACCTTCTTTATCGTGTGGGACGTTCGATGGAAAGTGCTTGGCGTTGTTTCGTCTTGAGCTGCTCACAAGAATCTCTTCTGTACTGGAATCTTTGCTAGACAGAAATAAAAGGATACAAAGTTCCTCAACAACAGCCTGCATTCGGTGCGTTACTGCTTTAAAGAAGCAGTTTTGTACATTGATCAACTCCTCATTAGTATAACCAAGTATGTTCGAGGTCGTTCGAGCCTCATTTTGAGGAATGCTGAAAATCTTCCCTTGTGAATCGATTTCGCTGAAGCTGGCAACGGCACCTTCAGAGCCGTTGGTGCATGTTGGAGAACGTGGTGGTGTCGGTAACCTTGAAGAAGGGGAAGGATAATACCGCAGGGTGCTTTCGACAACCTCACGGGCAGATACCGCCCTCACAAATAGGTTCCACCACGTTCTCAAACTAATACGATGTTTGGCTGATCCCTCATGACACACTAAAGAAGTACTATCCTGAAGCTGAAAGGCTTCAGTTTCCAAACCTCCACTTTTCTCCAGATGCTGAATTTCCGCCTTATCCTCCGCGTCGGAGCTGTCTGAGGGAGACACACAGCCCTCAGTGCGCATTACTTCCATAAATGCATGTATACGCTTCCAAAGCATCTCACGATCCTCACGCAACGCACTCCAGGTGGACTTGATTTGAGTGCTATTGTGAAGTGCCTCGTCACATACTGGGCACAATAAAGAAGAACCTCTATCGCTTCGGTTAGATCCCCTTTTGCTACCACCACCATATTTCTTCCTTTCAGCCTTTATAATTCTTATACAAAAAGCGATACATGTTGACGCGTGCTCATGGTGAGTATCATAGGCGCGTTTTTCAGTTTCACTGGCATGCTCTTCAGAGGGGTCTCTATCGAGAATTGTTTCAGTGTCGTCTCTTGAAGCTTTTTTTTTCATGATTTCGCTGTTATGACTGTTTTTTTTCTCGTGAATTGTAGTGCAAAAAGTGGTTACTGACTGCGATTTTGAATCAGCAAATAGTTCAGAGTTCGGACTTGTAGGTATTTTTTGGTTGTTTTCTATATCAGCCAGCTTTGGCAAAAGAACATCCGCATAGACTGTTAGCCACATTGCGCAAATCAGAAGTCGCATCCACAAGTAATCACATGTTGTGAGAGAAGCCGGCCGCGGCATGAGGGATGGCAACATAAAAGTACTTGTCGATGTATTGCTGACAGAAAGATTCCAAAAACTTCTGACACATGTCGGATGAGCACAATTTAATACGTCATTCACGTTAAATTTTCCGTTGATGTCAACAACAGGTAGCGTTTGGTTTTCATACTTTTCTGTAGATAGGCGTATTCCTTTCAAAGTCGACACTGAAGAAGAAAAGTTAGATAAACCAGGACAAGGAAACCCATCTGAGCTGTCACCATAAGCGTTATGAACTGATGAATACAAATCACTCCACTTGCGAAATCCGTAAAGTTGTGGCCTCCGCAAAAGTGCCTCAATACGCTTTCTTCTTGTAATTAATGCCGTAACATGTACTTGGGCCGCTAGTTCGGTGACATTCAAAGGGCAATCCGAAGAGTCCCAGAGAGCAGAAGATCTCAAAGCAGGTGCAGGCGACGCCGGCTTCAGTTTCAGACCGTTCAAGGCTTCTCCGTTCTGGAGTTCTGAATCGTTTGTTCGCATCAACAAAGCGCATAATTTATTCCATTTCACTTGCTCAATATTCTCTTTATTAAGACCTTCATCGATGTCATCGTTGCTGACTTCATCTTCGTTAACCTCACTATCGTTGTCATTACCCTTTGTATCAGCTTTTCTATTCATCTTAGTCAAATGCAAATCTGAATAAAGAGGCCTAGCAATGCCCGAGCGAGTGAGTTTTCGTTTCTTGGTAGATCTTGAAGCCAAAGATTCCGCAAGCAAACGCTTCCGGGTTCCATCGCGCTCAAGATTGCCTCCTAATTCAGGATCCCCTTCAGAATTTTCATCCGAACAAATACCCTCGATGGCCATTTGTCGACAAAATCCCTTATCCTTGAAAGAGGTCGCGCTCACCTCAGACACGTTGGACGTGAATCGATTCGCAATACCATCGTCCACAAAAAGTGGCAAAGACTTTTTTGTTTCACCATATTTTCCAGCACGAGCGTGCTTTTTTGCTCCACCTGCAGAGTCCGAGCTGTTCTGAACATTTCCTTCATGGTTCAGCGGCCTTGCCTCAACCACTTGGGGGTACTTTTTGCGCAAAGCGGGTGTGGTCACTGTGAAAAAGTAGCAAGCTGCGAGACACTCGATTTGAGTTGGATCGATGTTCAAAGCCCCAGCAGTGAGCGCAGCCGGTGCTACCTTCATGACGGGAGAAGCCTTTGACAATGGCGACGCCGAAAAGGTTTCCACCGCGGGTGAAGTCGCGATATTGTTCGTAGCGACATCAGCAATCACTACAGAGCCAACTCCAATGGAGGAAGCTGGCGCAGACGGAGAATTTCCGCCGTCCCTACAGATGCCACTCTTATAATAATCATCCTTGTGATTCCCACAAAACAACACGGGGCAAGAGAGCATCAAATGGTGACTACGTGCCGCAAACCTCTGAATATCTGAAACGCTAACTGACACTAAAACTAACTTACCAAACCATAAAATCGGATTTCGCGGTCGTAGCACTGCAGCGCGATAGGTCAAGGCCTCCCAGAGCAAAGGTAATTTCACTATAAGACGCGCACAGACACAAAAAGCGGCGTCCTGCAGACTTGTATTGCCGTCCCCAGTATTTAAACCGTATCCACTGCTGCCACCATGTGAAAGAGCGATTGGTACCGCCCGATGCCGACAAAGACGATATAAAGCAATCGCATCATCTGACATCATAGACGCAGCATCTTTCAGAATATTTTGGACAGATACAGCTGAGGAGCACAACCCAACCGGAGCAATAACGCCAGACCAATTTGATTTCAGCTGGAACGTTTTTTTATCCGTGGATAAATTCAATGTACAATGAGCGGAGGATGGTGATGAGGCTGAAGCAGAAGAAAGAAATGTAGGGAAAAAAATTTGGTGCGCCGCCAGCTCACATTGCGCCCGCACAATCTCATCCTCCATCTATCTTCAGATTTAATCTATCAATACTTTTTAATATTTGTATATATAATCTCAAAATATTTTATAAGTCCACATTTTAGAATTATTTCGACGCTAAATAAACAAAAAGAATAGGAAAATATCTACACAATAATGGCGTTTTTTATCAAGAATGTAGAGCATTCAAATACAGTACCGTAAAAACTAAAGCATTAAATTTGCTCAATCATTAGCTTTTATATATATATAATGAACACTCATTTTCATTGAAATAATAGTACCACATACAGTGTATATTTCTAAGGGCTGACCTGCATAATGTATTAATAATGAGATTATGGAAGAAAAGGAAGCAAACTAATCCATCAGTTCTACACCAATACAATGCATTGAAAAAAAAAAGGCAACACAATAGCAAAAATGGTAATATTTAAGGAATCGAAAGAAAAACGTTTACCTGCTATATTTGTAAATTCAATGAAACATATGTCTAGTAAATGAAGTGAACTACTAAGGTAACCACTTTTTAGTGTGGTGAAAACATCAGAAGTAACAACCTACGATGCAGAAATGACATTATTTCGAAGTCTCTTTAATAGATCCTGTGCCGCATCATCCACTGAGCTAGTCTTAGCGCGGCTCTTGGTGTTACCTTTCAGGCTCTCATTGGTAAATTTAGTGGAATTGGGTGAAATATCTACCGACTTCAGCGGAGGACCTTGGCGTGAGGAAATGCCTTGCGCACCACCTTCTAAATTTCGCGGAGTTCGAAACGTAAGGTTTTCGATACTTGGTGCACGTAGTGAATGCTCTCTGCACCTAATTTTCCGTTGATTAGAATATTCTATTTCGGATATGTTGTTCAGTATATTATCTCTTGGCTGATTTACGGCATGAAAAGACGCATTTGCTGGCGTTGACTGAAGGTGCTGCATACCTATAACTTTATGCTTAGGACTCGGAAAAGGGACTTGAGGTTGTTGGTAAGCGTCTACATGTTTCGGAAAATGAATCGAGGAAAGGGCTCTGGAAGAAGGTAAAGGAGTTGAGGATGAGTTCAAATTCCTACGTGGGGTTGTAAGCTTTGAAGTAACTGAAATGGTTGAAGCCTGCTTTCTGGTGTCAGTACCATGTGAGTGTCTGTCCATTTGATATTTTACTCCTTTTTGTTGATCTTTGGAGTGATATTTTTCTGAAACATACAAGCTCAAGGGCGAAGAGGTTGAGGGAGTAAACAAAGACGCGCCATGTCTTGGAGTGGCCATTTTGGATGCTGACACAGGCTCCTTTGAAATTTTCTGCTTTATTTGAGAGTCGCTCGCTGTATCGTGTAATTTGAAAGCGGAATTAGTCAAAGAAGTCGAGTGCTGTGAGGTTGGCTCATGAACATCTCGAGAAGGATTGGATATGAACAACTTTGTCACAGAAGAATGATGCTGAGATGACGCAGGCGGCTTATTAGGGCTAAGTTCCACAAACCTAGGTGTCTCTTCGGTAACGACTTCGATTTTTGGCGAAATAATATTACGGCCCCTCCCTTCATGATGTCCTTCCAGCTTTCTTTGTACTGTAGAGCGTTTCAATATAAAGTTTGCGTCAGCTCCCACATCTGTAGGGGTTTCCGACACCTTTGGATGGTTACTATGGCATTCCTTTGACACACCCGGAGGGTGCCCCCCTCTCGTCACCTTGAAGCTCCGAGGAGTTGTGCGGGCACTGCGAGTGGAAATAATATTGCGCCCCGGTGCACTGTCTTGGCGAAAATTGCTTTGCATCTCTTCCAATTCAGCATAGTGTAGCCGAATCCAATCCTGATCTAGTTCAGTTTTCCCCCGTGTTGTTCGTGATTCTCGACAGGACTGTCGTGCTGTCAAATTTCGATTGCTGTTTATCCCAGAACATGGTGTTTTAAGATGGTTATCTCCCTCTTTAGATTCAGCATGCTCGGGGACCAAAAAGGATTGAATATCAAATAGCACACCAGATAATCGAGGTACCAGAACTTTCCGCTGATTTATGTGTTCGGGTGTGGTATCAATATCAGTGCTACTGTTGCTAGTATCGGTGCACTCAGCCCTCATATTAGATAGCATGGTCGAATACCTACTACGAGCGCTCCGATCCTCCTTTCCAAGTGTTCCTATCACCGGATGCTTTGGGGTGCAATGGATGTCGCACTTGTTATCAACGTGAAAATCCCCCACGCAACCTTTTGACGTATCCTCAGTTTCGCTTGTACCATTGGTTTGTGCCTCGCAGGGGCTATTATCATCAATAGTTTTACAAGATCGTTGAAAAGAAGGCAATCGATTCCCGATTTGAGATAAAGGTGGTGAATACAAAAACGACCCATTGGATGGCTTCTCCTGAGGAATCATTCTTTTTTTCGGTGGTGTATGAGGCGTGCTGGTGGCAGTATTGGGAGGAAAGAACAACGCTGAGTCATTCGTGTTGGGGAGCATATTAGGAATACAGTCATTGCCAATTTTATTGAAAGTAGGTTGCTGAGCGGTAATACTGTGTGAAGAGTTTGGGGAAGGCAATTTCTCAGCACAGGGCTCAACTCCTTTTGAAGAAAAGCATATGTCATTCTCCGTAATGGCGTAAAATGAAGCAGCTTGGTAGGAGCATAAGTTGCTGTGCAAATCCTGATGATGTGAGGTACTTTTTCCATTTACCTCAACTCTATTGATTACTTCAGCAGCTTTCTGTGGAAAATTTCCGGAGAATTCTCCTGCAACTGTTTGATTGGTTTTATCAAGTAATGTTCTGTCAACTGGCACTGAAAAGGAAAAATGAGGCTCCGAGCTGAGTTGCGGTATCATCCGATAGGAAGTCTCATCCATGCTCGTTTTTCCTGATAAATTGTTAAGATGGTGATAGAACAGAGAGGAAGTATCATTATGATTATCAACTTCATTACCTTCCATAAAGCAATCTTGTGTACGATCATTGTGAGCAGTGAATTCATATCTGGGTGAAGACATTGGATTCGGTGAAGGGGTGTAATCTGTTTTCACTTCATTACGCAAGTCCTTTTCCAAAAGTGGGCCGCAAAGTTGACGTCGAAGCTCAGTGTAGCCCGCAGTTTCAGCATCAGGAAGCTCGTCAAGATGTGCATAACTTAGTTCATACAATGAAAGAATCGCTTCAAGCTTTTTTTCTCGAATTGATAATTCATTTTCACGAGCTTCTAATAGCTTAGCTTTTGCATTTATTTCAGTTTCATACGTCGAAAGATGAGTTGCGTTTTCCTTCAGAGTGGCTCCATCTTGCTGAACATCGAGGTTCGTTAATATTCCGGATTTTATGTCCTCATATAAAGATAGGCCCTGTGCTTTGTGTAATCGGAGATAATGGCACGCAAGAACATGAGTTTCCTCAGCAAGTAGGCAGTGAATCCACGAATTGGCGCGAAGACGAAGCGCCTGGAGTCGAGTGAGATAAAGAACAGCTGGTGCGTCTGTGGTATTGCTATTGGAGGAAAAAGACCCACACATTCGTTTTATGAAAAACTCAAGTTCTGAACTCACAAGAGTTTCAGTAGAGACATTTGATACCTTTTGTGCTTCAATGATGGAGAGCAATATTTTGCCGACAGAATTCAAGTCCTTTTGTTGACAAGATTCACGCTCTGAAATGGAAAGGTTGCTGGGATTTGAAAACGCACTACATGGGATGCAGGTCAAAGTAAAGAAAGTTCGATAGATTGGAGTTTGTGAAACAATAGGAGCGGAAGGCAATATAATACTACTATTGATGGTGTGAATAAACAATTTGATATCGTCAGCATTCCATCTATTGCGTCCAATTTTGTCCCAGAGATAATTCAATGAATTTTCAAGGTGCATACTTAGTTGCCTAGGAATTGCAAAGCAAACGATATCCTCAGTGGTAATTTGTCCGCCGTAGTGAAACCCAGCTGCATGGACGATCGCTAAAGTTGATAATAGGGAATTAATAAGTCTCCAGAGAAGTTCTTCATTCCAAACGGCCACCGAGTGGCTTACTGTAACCTCTGACTTTCTAGACTCGCGAGAGGAACGCGATAGGTACTGACTTAGGCAAAAGTATGAGTTTGACATGGAATCCGCGCTATCGAATATTATAGCATACATTACACAAAGAAACAAATTCCAAAAGGAAAAACGATATTGTCTATCATTTTGTAAATCAAAAAAAGAGCCTGGCAAAAAGTTAAATAAAAGATGACATTTAAAGTTATCGGTATTAACTTCGTCACTAGCGTTTAGCGCATGTATTAGTGGTAATGAAGAAAATGCAGTTGATATGACTGCTGCTGGAGTTTGAGGCGAGGTTTGATTACTATTAAAATCAAAATTGACCACAGCTTTCATATTCATCGGACTGAAAGAGTGAAAAGTAGTCTGAGCTAATTCCAAACAGGACCTGTGTGCTTGTAAAAGTGAGCTAAGTTTTGATACCGACGGAATAACTATAGCCACACTACAGCTCGCTTGTGGTCTAAATAAGACACAGTAACGACATTTCTGAGGATACTTAAAGTAGTCAACATTTGTTCTAGAATCATCAGAATCGACGAGAAACGCATTTTTATTTTTGTAATGATAAAGAATACTCATTACTACCTAGGATTATCCTGATATTCTATATAACTAACAATATCTTTTGGTTTAAAAAATAAATGGACAAAAAATTAACCAATAACATAATAAAAATGACTAAAGTGAATATCTAAATAAACCAAGATCGGTTATCTCAATGAATTTAAAATTATAGAAAATAGTTGTAAATAATTCAAAACTATGCACTAAGGATTCATCTTTACTTCTTTGTCAAAC